ACTTGGGTTCGTTACATTGTTGATTGCCTCTTGCGTTTTGTTAGGTCTGCTTAGAGGGTGGTCACATTGGATTTGTTATCTGATGCTTCTAAACATATGGCAGATGTTTAAACTGCCAAGAATTGAGTATTAGTTAGGGCATGTCCAACGCTACAGGCTGGACGGATGCCTCAGCTCTCCACGTCGGCTCGGGTGGTCCTCGATTGCTGTTTGTGCTGCTTGCAGGCTAGAGGGGGATCTTGCAGAGGAGGCCGGCTCCTGCCTGACAAAAGTGCAGCGAGGCAAAAAAAGACGAGAGGAAGCTGAAGGAAGCGTGGGGTTGAGATCTGGTATAGCAGGAGAGAGAAATACGAGTAGTAAAAAGTTGGCCGGCTGAGGCTATTGCTGCGTTGGGCAGTGGATTTTTGGACCGTGGTTTCCCTGCTACTTTTTTACGTGGCAATGGTGAGGCATTAGGTAGGTAGTGCTTCCATTGTACATGCCCTTAATAGAGAACATGTTGGGTTGTTGCCCGTTGCTGCAACCCACATCAGATGACGTGAGTCTTCTTTTCGCCTGCAAACCATAGTCATTATAGCTTTGCTCCAGTTTGCCAATGTATAGCTGAATATGAGCCATCTACTTGCTGCAAGTGGTCACATATGGGGTAACTTTTAGTGGCAGGGTGAAGCAATGGTACTGGCATTTATATTACTGAATAGTACATGCTTTGTGTTATTTTCCATGCTCTCTATGTGCTCTTGGTTTGGCAGGGGATGCTTGGTGATGACTCCTTAAATGCTCTGAGTAATAATTGAGAATACATGGACAATGTCAAAATTGAAGCGTGATATTCGTATTTCATATTTACTCCACAAAAACTTTTTCTGTTTTTTCTCATTCTTTTTACATATGTATTTGCAAACAAGTATCTATGCGTAGTGCGTGCACGTTGACTGGATTGGCAACCGAATCAAAATACAAAAAACCTACAACTTCAGTGCCCATTAGATACTCGAAAAATTACCAACAACAAAAATTTAACCCTTGAACCATTACGACATAAATGAGATGGATGGGATCATGCCTGTTCTTTGGTGTGTGTGTGTGTGCTGCGGTTGCCATCATTTTCTCCCTTTATTCCTTCTGGCATAGTCTTCTCTGCATTTATGCATTTGATACTGAAGATAAATCATATTGCAAGTCATGCTTTCCGAGAGGGAGGTCTGTGACGTAATCTGTGTTTGCTTACATTTTTTGCCATTCCTGATCTGTGTTGCAGGTCTTTCTTTGTGCGTTTTGCCTGCCCAGATTGCTTGTCTGCTCGGTCCAGATTTACAAGAGTGCTCCCACAGTTAATCTCGCTCAACGCGTCGCCTTCTCTCCTTCCTGGTGCGATGGTACCGTCCTCCTCCTTTGTTTGCATTTCTTGTGCTCGTTTCAGATTCTGTCATTTACCCAGTTCTAACTGTGTGTGTTCCGTGCAATGTGCCATTTTATGTTTTTGCCTACTATTTCATACTATTGACTGCTACTTTTACTTCCTGCTTGCATACGTTCTTTCCTGTTTATTGTTTTGCCCTTGCTTCACATGTCCAGCATGTGTCCTGTCGTGTCTTTTGTTCTTCGAGTCTTGGAAACCGTGGCAGCGCATTGTGCGCTGCCTCCTCCTTGTTATCTCTTTGAGGTTGACCGGGATGACCATGTCCTTGCTGGGGTAGAGATTGACATTCCTGGGGATGGTATCCTAACGACGCCGCAAAAAAAGATTTTCTGGACCTCAGGGTGGGAAGGTTATACAGCTGCATATGAGCAAAGTGCTTTGCAGGCAATCAAGTTTTTGCAGGGGATGTATGGTTTTATAGTTAAGGATTACAACTATGAGTGTGTGGTTTGCTATAGGAATTCAGGGAATGCTGTTGTCGCTGTTGCCGCGTCGGTTGGTCGTTATGCGGCCTATTTAGAGAGAGCCCTTGTTTGCGCCTTTCGTGCTGACCCACAGCCACCACCTAACCTGGCGTTGCTATACTCAAGCCTTTTGGCGTCTTTGTATTCTTTTTATCTGCGCCACCGCCTAACCTGGCGTTGCTATACTCAAGCCTTTTGGCGTCTTTTTATTCTATTTAGCTGAAACAGGGTACTCCAGTTGTTCCAGGATTCTATTTATTTGATAATAATAATTCGGTTCAGTTTCATGCTCTTTTCTTTTTATGTTATTTATTCCTGTTGCCTTATATGATGTGTCTTTCAATGCCTGTGTTGTTAGTTCTTGCAAGATTGTGTTATTCTGATTTGAGTATTCTTCGCCGGAGCGATTTCAGAGCTTTGTTTCTGCTGTGCTGTACATTTTAAAACGAGGTGAAGTTAACTGAACTTGATAGCGCTGTTCAAAATTCAGTTATCTACAAACAAACGACATATATCGGTTTGTTGTGTCTTTTCTTGTATAAGGTTTGAAGCAAGGTTGTTCGTTTGCTTAGTATTTTCTTCGTTGGAGATTTTGAGCAAAATTGTTATGTGTGGCTCTTTGAAGGTGGATTTTTTAATGGAAAACTCAGTTATGGTTCGAAGCAAGGTTGTTCGTTTGCTTAGTATTTTCTTCGTTGGAAATTTTGAGCAAAATTGTTATGTGTGACTCTTTGAAGATGGATTTTTTAATGAAAAACTCAGTTATGCAGAAAGAAACAGCAAATACAAGTTTGCTGTGCCTTTTCTTGTATAAGATTTGAAGCAACGTTGTCCGGTTGCTTATTATTTGTCTTCTTGGAAATTTTGAGCAACATTATTATGTGTGACTGTGTGAAGATGGATTTGAAATCGATGCTGTGTGCTCTGCACTTCAAAACGAGATTAACTTAACTGAACTTGTTACTGCCATTTAAAATACAGTGATCTACAAAGAAACAACAAATGCCATCATAGTTTTAAAGGGGTACAGCAGATAGTATATTAGATGGACGAGACAGCTGCTTTCATAATGGGCTTTCTCTGTAGAGTATATATGTGCACTGGAACTATCAGCTATGGCATCCATGATTCTCTGCAAGTTTAACGGAATGCTTTCTTTGTGCTAATGCTCTTCTGGTACATATTCCCTACTCGGTGCTTCTCTCTCCTATGATGTAAGCTAAGTATATATGTGCTATCTTTGATAACTTTTCACCTACAGTTCAAGGATTCAAATGTAAGAAAGCATCATCCTCCACTCCCTTTCAGCATTTTTTGACCTCTTGTAATGCAGGTTCATCTAATTAAGCTTTTAATGATTCAATGTTCGCACACTGTATATTCTCTAACTATTGTGCTGACAGATTAAAGTAGTGTTTTAGCATAGTATACATACCTTCTTGTTGCACTGTTTGTGACTCTCATTTTTCTTTCTACAAGTTCCTTAATTAAAGCAATCATACCAAATGCTAATTAGAATGGAAAAGTGTGTTTAAGGGGCGAGTACAACCAGGCACCGCCCAGCTCCCCCTCAAGAGGCGCGCCCCAACACCTAGTCTACATTAGTTGTGTTGCGTTGACGCACCGTGAGTGGATGCAGGAGGAAGGAGGCTTCAGGTTTAAATGTAAGGTGCATTTTGATTCGGTACGCATTTTGATTCAGTATGACAGGCATGATAAAAAGTTACTTCAATTTCTATGATACAAAATCACAATCACAATTGGTGTTTTTTCAATACGAGTATAATAACACTATTTTATGTCACATATATTGAAGTATTTAACTATATTAACAAAGTAATTATTAGTCAAACCCTTGTCTTAATGAATCAAAATATGATTTACATTCTTTTCATAGGGCATAACACGGCACAATTGGACTACACAACTTCAAGTAAGCATTGGTTGTGGGAATTTGAAGCAAACACGAACAACAAAGATCATCCATAAGACCAAAAGTTCTATCAGGGTACTACTTCTAACTCATCACTGGTAATTTTCCCTACACATCTTTTGCATCTTAATTTTCCCTACATGTTTCCTTACAAAAAAACTGCACAAGATCAAGCCTGCACCTGCACAAGCTGGATGGGGCTTTCGGCCACACCCTTTGTAACCAGATTACTGAACCGCTGGTAAAATACTACTCTTGAATCTACAGCAGAGCATTATGCTGTTACTCAAGCATGTTATTTTCCGCAAATGGCAGCTTTGGTCTCACTTCCACATGGATTACTGCATCTGAACCTGCATTCCATGAACTAACAAGTGGCAGTTTTTGATAAATAAGATTGGCATGATCAAGCCAGACAGTGCAAATCTAAAACCCATAGGATTTTTATCAACAGACGATTATATTTTGAACTGGGACACGGCAATCAGTTAAATGGGAGTGCTTGACAAAATTTCGCTATGGTGATTTCAACATCACAGCCTTTGGCACCCAAGGGATGAAGCTATCAAGTGCAGAAGTGTAATGTTAGATCAGTATCATGTAATGCACATAAGTTTTCATCAACTAATAGCTGGAAGGGGTATCAAACTTCAGAATTATCTGCCTTTCGAGGATGCATGCCAATTGTCTACAGCTCATCATGTTCCAGGGCTTCTGCATTTGTAGTAAATCATGGTCAGAAAATTCAAGGTTAATCTCCAATACTAATCAAATGAAAGCAAAGACACTGACCAGATTTATCATCTCCGAAGAAAAATGAAATCTCTCTGGCCGCAGATTGCAGTGAATCTGAACCATGCACACAATTTTTCTCAGAGTCCAAGCCACACATTGCTCTAATGCTGTAATGAGAAGCAAGTGCTTGTGAATAACATGAATTGCAAAAGCATAGAAGAAAGAGTTAGGTTCAAGCTCATTATAGTGTGAGACATGGATCACAGATAGTTTTTAAGCGACGCTTAAGCGCGCTCAAGCGCTGAGCGATGGCAAAACGCTTCGCTTTTGCCCTACGTGGTGGATTAAGCTTTTTTTTATTTGGCCAAAATTTGGCTGTTTTTGAACTATTTCTGCTTGTCTCCTTGCACAATAATGGCAATATGCCATTTATCTTATAATCAGGCTCTGTTCGGGAACTATTTCCTTCATATTCTGGCAAAATTCTGGCCACGCGATCTCTATTAGGTTATGTCTATTTGAACTGAACTGCATTTTAGTTGTTATTTTGCTTGCTATGTGAACCTGGTGTGTGTTTGCTATGGTGTGAACTGTATTCTGGATGCTATTTCAATTACCCATGTGCCAAGTTTCCTATTTTCCTGTGTATATTATTCAAAATCTGTCAAATTCTAGCCAATTTCAAAAAAAACGCTTAAGCACCCATTGCTCTAAGCCGTGGCCTTCCGCTTCGCTTACGCTTTCTGCTTTTTTGAACATTGGCAGATTCTTGGGTAATGAAAAGGTGCAGTAAGTTTCCTATGGAACACTGATATTAGTTATTGTTTATTAATATGTTTGCATTGGAGTCATCATTGATCTCACATAAGGTGTTCTCAACTAGAAAAAGAATGATGTAGTTCTTAACCTGTCAGGGTGTGAAGTTTTAGCCTTTCTTGCATCAGTTGGCCCTATCAAAATTCTCCAGCGTGAAATGGCATCGGGGCTTTCCAGAACCATAACATGAACTGGACCGCTGAACATCACAACAAACAAAAACATCAAGTCAGAGGCTGCTTTGTACTGTTAGGGCAGATTAGTAACCTGAGAGTGCTCAAATGCAAACAAGAAACTTCAATGGAGTTCTCTCAAAGAAATAAAAAGATAACAAAATGTCCTATGAAGATTTGGGCAGCGCAAAGTGTCAAAGTGTTCAGGAATGTCGATCAAGCTCCTCATGTCACAGTTCACAACATTGTTCCAATTTGCTTATTGGTTGCATCGGTTCAAGAAACCCTATAGTAAAATAGACATTATGTCTTGGCAGGAATACCTAGCCCTGCATCCTCCGGATCGTTTTGAGCAATGTATTCAGGTGGGGACTGCCCCCCACACACACCTAGCGATTGCCTACAAAATATGCTATGAGACTACGAGCCAAGAAATGTCCAATTTTGCTCGGATGTAATGTGGGCATGCTTACTGGATTTTACAACGAACACTCTGTTGGTTTGTGTTGTGGGTGTGTCAGAAGCAGTTCTGTGCTGGCTGTGGTGAGAAAGCTATTGTGCTGATTAAGCAGTTTTGACGAAGGTTGGTCATCTGGGAATACAGCCGTACAGCGATTGTGAGCTGAGAATATGTCTTAAATGCCCATAGCATGCTAGAATTTTTAATTTGTTGATTGTATGCTAATCACCTGTTTTAATGTTGATTTACAATAGAAGACTGAGTTAGAAGTTGGAACTTGTACTGTAAGTAAATTGCCTGTTATAATGTCTATTTGACTATAAGTACCTAGTTTTACCAAAAATGTTCTTAAATAATTGTTTTTCAATCTTTAAGATATTGATAATGAACTTCTAACATATTTATTATATTACTGGAAAATGAATCCTAAGCACCGAGTGCAATTCTTCACAGGACACTCCTAATCGCCTAATTTCTCTGAACCATGAAATGAACAGCTGTCTTTTCCAAATTGCTCGTTATAACCAAGAGATTTGTAATTCTAAACATCACAAATTCTCTGAACCATTGCCACATATAGCAATCATCTGATCTCCATCATATACTTCCTCCGTTCCTAAATATAAGTCTTTGTAGGGATTCCACTAGGTGGACTACATACGGAGCAAAATGAATGAATTTACACTTAAAATGCATCTATATACATCCGTATGTGGTTCATAGTGGAATCTCTACAAAGACTTATATTTAGGAACGGAGGGAGTATATACAACTCTGCCTACTAAAGTGTGCAGTTTTCAGAAATTAATTGGATTTCTCATACCAAGCAACTGAACAAACAAATTTAGCTCAAGATTATGTGTTGGAACTGAGGTGGCATTAATAAAATTTTCCCAATATTGTCAGTGGCATTGTTTTGAGGTAGCATAAATCAAAATTTCCATGCCTTCAAAACAACATATACCTCGTCATATACTTCACCAGGCTGTTGAAGAAGCTTCTATGGGCATGCTCAGCATAGAAGAGTTATGCCCTCTCTGCATCCAGCTGGACAACTGCCTCTTCTATGATATCAAATCCAGACTCCAAGATGGCCTCCTTGATTTTTTCCGTGTAGTTACCAGACAAACCATCCGGCTTGATCATCGCCAACGTCCTCTCTCTCTCCACAGCCTCACAGCTGCGGCACCTGAATTAATTACACATCAAGGCATGCAGTTCAGACTCAGATTACACAAAACTACAGACTGTACTACAGGCATTTCCTCCCTACAACAACCTCTATCGCAAAGCATCCTTGAACAGAAACCGGCTTCCATTCGATTGCAGTAACAACTATGGTTAGCCCCAAGAACGTTTAATATAGTCATGCCCACCCAAATTATCTCGATTAAGCGAGCGACGCGGTGGCCCGAGGATGCCGCCGGGGCTGATTTATGAGAGAAATCTTGCTCAGATCTGTCACGGCAGGCATGCTAATCCAGCAAATCTAACATGTTCATGACAAAGAAAGGCTAAGAAGTCATCCCCTCTGCAGCACTTAATTCAGCACACGAGATCCCCAAAGGCTCGCTAGAGGA